AGACACAATTTAGTTTATTAAAGACCCTACAGAAACGAAGGAATGAAAGTGAACAAATGGAACACATCTATATTTTAAAAAAGAAAGCTGCTACGGTAAAACCAACATTCCAGAAAATTGAATTTAAGGCAGAAATAATTAATACAGATATATAGGGATACCACATAATAATGATGGGAACAAGCCATTAAGAAGAGATTTAAACTTACACATAGCAAACAATGTATCTTCAAAATATAGTTTGCAAAAACTTTTAGAATTATCAGGAGAAATTTATAAGCCCATAATCATAGTGCATTATTTTAACTTATTTCAGAAGATAACTCAAGCACACAAAATGACTAAGGTTATAGTAACTTTCCACAACAAAATTAAGGTGTGTGATCAAACAGATAATTATAGAGCACAGTATCCCAAAAATACAAGATATATACATGTTTTCTAAGTACACTTGGAATACTTTCAAAATATGATCATGAAATTAATTCATAAAGAAACTCCCAATAAGTCTTAAAGAAATACTAATAGTATATACAGTATTTGGAAGCTTAAAAATGACTTTCTAAATTGTTATCAGGTTAAGGTAAAATCACAACAGAAAACAAAACTATTTGGAACTGAAAGACAATGAAAGTAATGTCTATTAAAATTTATAAAATGCATGTCATATAGTTTTTAGAGGTGAATTTATACCCTCAATGGCAATTTTTACTAAATAGAAACCACTGAACATAGAGTTAAATATACATCTCAAAACACCAGAAAATATATTTAAAGAAAGTAGAAAAAAGAAAACTAGAAAGGTATAGCAACAAAATAGAAAGAAAAACAAAGAACCCACAAGAACAAATGCTAGTGCTGTCAAAAAATAAAATAAAATCAGCTTACCTCCACAGACTAATGAATTTGAAAGTCATAAATAATGAATATTAAAAACATAAAAGAATATAATTATACATGCAGTAGTGACTAAATATGAGACTAATACTATGAAACTTTTTATGTAAAAATTGAAATTGTAAGTCAACTTTATTATTTTCTAGAAAATTTTAATCACCAAAATTGAAATGAAATTTTAAAAAATGAATAAACATAATTGTCATGAACTCTCAAGTATCTGAGCTCTTATCTTATTAACAAACTAATTAGTTAGCCTGCCAGAGTTTCATAAATGTTGGCAAAAGACATGAGACTCCTGAGTCAGAGACAAGGGACAGTTCATTGCTCATAGCAATAGCAGTTGCCAAAGCATCATTATTTTCTTGTACCAGTTTCTTGAGTGGTCTTTTCCCACAGAACATCTAAAGACAGCCAAATAATACCTGTGTATGCCGTGAGTTATAAGAAATAAACCCCTAGCTTAGGGAACTTGAAACTTGTATAAGGATTGCAAAGCAGGCTAACTCATGGCTATGGAGGGAGACATGATTGTTATTATACTTGCAAGTAGAAAACGTGAACTTTGCTCCAGAGGAAGACAATATGTTTGCCTTCCAAAGATGTTTGCTATATAAACATCCATGAAAATATAATCTGGGACAAAAGGGTAGTCAGTGTCTCACTGAAAGATGTACAAACACATGACAATGAAGAGGGGAAGCAGACCAAGTAACTAGTCCACTGAAGGCAGCTGATGAATCTGTAAATATGTAACAAGGCTTCTCAGAACAATGTGGGCCAGAGCGGTAAGAATCACCCTGAGTTCTACCCGCTTAGTGGAACAACTACATTCACTTTTAGCAGCCACTGAGACTGAACAGGAACAGCCACAGCAGCCCAGTGGACAATATTGAGTTGCAGCTTAGCTGAACCACAGTGAATCAGGCTCAGGCATTTATCAAAAAACCTGTCAACTGATGACTCCACCCAGTCAGTGAATTTGGTTCAAGTGGTTGAATGGGGAATAAAATTTCCTCCTCAGGGATCTCTGCCACTTTCATGTAAAGCCAAGATAGTTCCAGTGTCATCTTGCTATGCTCTTGATTATATCATTCCCATTTGACAAGCAGAGTTTCCCGGGCCCTTGCCATGTTCTTGTCTGATGAGTTTGAGTTAATCCACCCCAAAAATGGTAACATGAGGCCAGAGAGTTACCAGGCCTCCATAGCCAGGCAATCAGTTTCAACAAGAGCCTGGTAGAAAGCTAATAGTTGCTTTTCAGAAAGGGTGAACCTGACAGCCATGTCAGGGAGATAAAGATTGCAAACCACAAGAGGTGCCTCTATTTGAAATCTGCCTCTTTTTTACCCAAGATTTTAATCAGCAAAATCATCAGTCACAGTAACTTGTGGTTCAAAGGAGTCATTGCAGTTGTGGGAGTTCCCAATATAGAAACCATGAAACAATTCACAGGACAGCTTCCAATACAACCTGTAGTTTGGGTCCCACTTAAAGGAAGCTGATCTGTCTGTTAGTTGATATAAAATACCAAGTAGAATATCTAAATGAGGTATATACTATTTCTAATATCCAAATTGTTCAATAAAGTGTAGGGCTTTCATTTGCAAGGGTTTTCTTTCAAAGACCTGAAAAGATCGTAGTTTTTTCTTGAATGTTAAAGAAATTGAGCATTTTGAATCTACCCGAACTGTCTCCATAAACTGCTTGGCAAGAAGATCCCTGAATTTTCTCAGGCTTTATCACACTGGCAGAGGTGTGATAATACTATATAGTCTGGGGCATTTAGGCTGAGCCCTATTACTTACCAACCAACACAATGTCATCTATACAATAAATGTTTTTTGACATTAGAGAGGAGAGGCAGTCATGCTAAACACTCAACTACTCACTGGTCACAAACAGCAAGGGAATTCAGATGTCCCCAGGAAGTAATGAAAACATATACTGGAGACCTTGCCACATGACCATGAATTGGTCTTGGTCCTTTGGTCACATCTGAGATGATATAACTAGTGCCATCAGTCTGTGCAATGGGTCTGGTACACCTGGGCATTGGGAGCAACAGCTGAATACAGTTGGTGATAAGCCTCTATCTCCTGTTAGTCTTTTTGAGTGGCCACATAAGGCTGCTATACTGATATATTGTGTTTCTTGCTTTCAGTGTACTTTTTCACTCTTAATTAACCAAAACCTTAATTAAATAAAGGAGTCCCTTTATCTTCCTAGGATTCTGTATCCTTCATGTTGGACCACAATGGAAGGAACAATAAGACAGTTTGGAAAATGATTTAAGTGCCAGAGTGTCAACATTTTTGTGCTGGTTCCCTGAGCTCAGATACTAATAAGGCAATGCAAGGACTGCCAGATAACACTTGAACATACAATGGATTGCATTACAGGGGAGGAACCCTGTGTTTTGGGAGTCAAAATTCTTTATGATGGGTAATAAGTCTGTCTGCCCTTTACTCCACAGGGAACTAGTATCTGTCTTTTAAGTCTGATCTTTACAAACATCTTTTAAAGCAGAGCCCCAAGCAGGGACGTCAGAGCCTTGCTTGTAGGATATTCAAAACATGAAGATCTTTGACCCATGTATTATTTTCTCCCAACAAATATATGAAAGTTTCTCTAACTCATAACTTGTTCGGTAAATGAAAATAGAATAATATAGTGTACCTATTATATTGGGTTAAAAAAATAGAAGTCTAAAAGTAGGAAGAGTTGGCTAAGATACGGAGAAATAGAAACCTTCAAACACTGCTGGTAAGAATATATACAGATCCACTCACATTGGAGAGTAATCTGACAACATCTAATAAAGCTGAATATACTCATATTCTAGGATCCAGGGATTCCTCCTATTGATCTATATGTCTGTGAAAATTCTGCAGATGCTGACAGTAATAAAAGTTGTTGTCAGTGTCCCTTGTATGCATGACAGCATTGTTTGTAATACAGAAAAATTAGAATCAACTTATTTATCATAGGTAAGTGATGAGGAAAATTTTGATCAATCCATAAAATAGAAGACCCTACAGAAATCAAAATGAATAAACAAGTACTATAGGGAAAATCATGTACACTCCTCAAAAATATTTTAAGTTTAGCATGCCATTTATATAATTAATAATAATAATATCAATTTATATAAGAAGTTCCAGAAAGCTTTAACTATACCCATAATATTTTCTTTAGTTTTGAAATAATCTAAAACAAATATAATACAAGATTAAATTTTCTAAAGGCTAGGTGTAAGTAATTATTAAAATACTCTATATTCTTACTTATGCATTTGAAATATTTTATTCTAAGAATGATTAAAGCAGTGTGAGTTATAGGGTGCTAATTAATCATTATTCTTACATACTATCATTTAGTCTTTTAGCTGAGAGAAGCAGTGTAGCTTTATGATTAAGAATCTGTACTCAAGCTAAAAATGCCTGAGTTCAATTACCAGTTCTATTTCTCCCCATTTTTGTGACCTTTAGCAAGTTAACTAACAATTTTTTAAGATTTGGTCTATATGTAAAACTGGGAAAATAATATACCTTACATTCTGTGGTTGTTAAAAAGTGCTACATGAGGCAATAAATGAAAGTGGCCGCCCTAACCTGTAGAAAGAACTTTAAAAATTTTGACTGATATTTGACATGGGGAGCAATTTAATGTGTATTCCATCAGTTCCCTCTTTTATTTTTGGTCATAGGAATCTAATGTATCTTTACAACCTCTTTAGAGAAAAGGTCTCTTTAATCAGAGATGTGGCATATATTTTCTCACTTCTTTCAACACACTTTTAATGCCAGCTGTCTATTCATCTCACTGTCCCCCAAAGACAATCTGCTCAGTTCAGCCTAAGAGGCTATGATCATTCCGTTTCCTCAGCCTTTAATATCTTTCCATTCTCTGTGGCTTATCCAAGTCTTATTTTCTTTTTTAGCCTACGTGAGGACCCAGGTCCACAGTGAAACTTTGCTACATCTTACCACTATATTTTGCTCTAACTAGCCTTGTCTGAGCAAAAACACATTACTATTAATGACCAACAATCATTTCTGTGTTCTACATTGTATGGCACTCTATAATTTTAAATCACTTACCTATTATGTCACTCATGTGATATTCAGGTGAAGATCATATGAGAACTGCACAGTTCTGCTACTGTGCAGAACTAAGATTATAGCTGCGGACTCCAGGCTTAACACTTTGCATCACTTCACCTGTTAAGTACCAAGACCTTTTCCAAAAGTTCATTTTTAAAGATACACTTCACTATTGTTTTTAAATAAATATTTCTTCTATATAAGACTTTCTTAAAAAGTGAAACCCAAAAACTGCTTTAATTGCAAGCATAAACTGGTTAGTAATAATAAGTGAACTATTAACTTCTTACGGCTTGTCTGAGCACTGGGTTCAGAAGTCCTATTCTGTCCAGATACAACAGAATTCTGTTGTCCAATAGTGAATAAATGTGTAACAGATAGTTTCCATAGAAAAACTTGGAGAAGGTATATACCCAGTAATGGGATGGCTGGGTCATATGGTACATCTAGTTCTAGATCCTTGAGGAATCGCCATACTGTTTTCCATAATGGTTGAACTAGTTTACAATCCCACCAACAGTGTAAAAGTGTTCCTATTTCTCCACATCCTCTCCAGCACCTGTTGTTTCCTGACTTTTTAATGATTGCCATTCTAACTGGTGTGAGATGGTATCTCATTGTGGTTTTGATTTGCATTTCTCTGATGGCCAGTGATGATGAGCATTTTTTCATGTGCCTGTTGGCTGTATGAATGTCTTCTTTTGAGAAATGTCTGTTCATATCCTTTGCCCACTTTTTGATGGGGTTGTTTGTTTTTTTCTGGTAAATTTGTTTGAGTTCTTTGTAGGTTCTGGATATTAGCCCTTTGTCAGATGAGTAGATTGCAAAAATGTTCTCCCATTCTGTAGGTTGCCTGTTCACTCTGATGGTAGTTTCTTTTTCTGTGCAGAAGCTCTTTAATTTAATGAGATCCCATTTGTCAATTTTGGCTTTTGCTGCCGTTGCTTTTGGTGTTTTAAACATGAAGTCTTTGCCCATGCCTATGTCCTGAATGGTACTACCTAGGTTTTCCTCTAGGATTTTTATGGTATTAGGTCTAACATTTAAGTCTCTAATCCATCTTGAATTAATTTTCGTATAAGGAGTAAGGAAAGGATCCAGTTTCAGCTTTCTACTTATGGCTAGCCAATTTTCCCAGCACCATTTATTAAATAGGGAATCCTTGGATTATAAATTACGCTGCTATAAAGACACATGCACACGTATGTTTATTGCAGCACTATTCACAATAGCAAAGACTTGGAATCAACCCAAATGTCCATCAGTGACAGATTGGATTAAGAAAATGTGGCACATATACACCATGGAATACTATGCAGCCATAAAAAAGGATGAGTTTGAGTCCTTTGTAGGGACTTGGATGCAGCTGGAATACATCATTCTTAGCAAACTATCACAAGAACAGAAAACCAAACACCGCATGTTCTCACTCATAGGTGGGAACTGAACAATGAGATCACTCAGACTCAGGAAGGGGAACATCACACACCGGGGCCTATCATGGGGAGGGGGGAGGGGAGAGGGATTGCATTGGGAGTTATACCTGATGTAAATGACGAGTTGATGGGTGCAGCACAGCAACATGGCACAAGTATACATATGTAACAAACCTGCACGTTATGCACATGTACCCTACAACTTAAAGTATAATAATAATAATAAATGAATAAATAAATAAATAAATAAATAAAAACTTGGAGAAGGTAAAAACATAGAAAATTTGTAAATTTATCTTTGCTGCATCCCCTAACATCAAGAAATGATCACTCAAACAAAGTGTCCATGCAAGCTGATGGGAAGCTCCTATACAGAACGATAACAGAAGACTCTGAGTCTCCAACGGAGACCTGTTCACATTTAAATCAACTTGTAAACCCATAAAGTAGATAACTCGCATCAGTCTCAGAAGAACTAATCCTCTTCCTACTCACTGTTTCTCTATCTGTTGGACTCACATGACCAAAAGCCCTGACCCTGGGGAGTTCTACTTGGCCTAGGATCAAAAAGTGGAGGTGATATGGACAAGGGAGAGATGAGAAAACCAGAAACAAAGTCTTTCTTTGTGGTTGCTTAAACCCTACATATACACTTTGGTTGTAAGGCCCACATGTTAAGCCTGCTTAATTTTATCAATTCTATGTAGGTTAGGACAGACATTACAAATTTCAGCAAGTAGAGAGACCTAAAAATTTCCATTATCAATAAGGACGTAGCCAGGGGCCATTTCTTAAAAATATCTAGTCCTTATTCTGCTTTACATTGTTGTTTGCCTAATCAGTGTGTTTGCTTTATTCTATTTCTAGCTAGTTTGCAATTTACTCAATGGTAAATCATATCCTTTATATTACGTTAGCATCATCGATATTGCTAATGTAAAATTATTTTAAAATGTATAAACTTTTTAAATCTTTATTTTGTCTATACCATTTTGGTTGTAGGAAGAGCATGACAATGTTTAATGTCAAGTTAGCCATGTTTCTAATGGCTAATTTGTGATGATTAAGAGTGTGACAGAAGAAAATGAAAAATGAGTGGCTATCAAGTTTAATCCATGTCCCAGTGAAGGGTATAAAGAAAACAGTAAAGAAGAAAAAGGAAATAGGTAAGTCAGGAGGAAGAAAATAAATAACAGAGAATTTAGTGAAGCAAAACTGATTACAAAAATGGATTCAGCCAAGTTAGATGTAAACACAGACCAGAAAGCTGAGATATACTGTTTTAATAAATTCATCATCTTGAAACAGGAAATACGGATCCAGTTATGTCTAACATACTCAGATACAGTTGTACTCTTCCAATAAGTGACAAAGATTTGTAAATTAGTTTCTTTAAAAAATAATAGATTCAGCTGTGAATCCATCTGGTCCTGGACTTTTTTTGGTTGGAGGCTATTAATTATTGCCTCAATTTCAGAGCCTGTTATTGGTCTATTCAGGGATTCAACTTCTTCCTGGTTTACTCTTGGGAGGGTGTATGTGTCCAGAAATTTATCCATTTCTTCTAGCTTTTCTAGTTTATTGCATAGAAGTGTTTATAGTATTCTCTGATGGTAGTTTGCATTTCTGTGGGATCAGTGGTGATATCCCCTTTATCATTTTTTATTGCATCTATTTGATTCTTCTCTCTTTTCTTCTTTATTAGTCTTGCTAGCTGTCCACCAATTTTGTTGATCTTTTAAAAAAACCAACTCCTGGATTCATTGATTTTTTGAAGGGTTTTTTGTGTCTCTATCTCCTTCAGTTCTGCTCTGATCTTAGTTGTTTCTTGCCTTCTGCTAGCTTTTGAATGTGTTTGCTCTTGCTTCTCTAGTTCTTTTAATTGTGATGTTAGGGTGTCAATTTTAGATCTTTCCTGCTTTCTCTTGTGGGCATTTAGTGCTATAAATTTCCCTCTACACACTGCTTTAAATGTGTCCCAGAGATTCTGGTATGTTGTGTCTTTGTTCTCATTGGTTTCAAAGAACATCTTTATTTCTGCCTTCATTTCGTTATATACCCAGTAGTCATTCAGGAGCAGGTTGTTCCGTTTCTATGTAGTTGAGCGGTTTTGAGTGAGTTTCATAATCCTGACTTCTAGTTTGATTGCACTGTGGTCTGAGAGACAGTTTGTTATAATTTCTGTTATTTTTACATTTGCTGAGGAGTGCTTTACTTCCAACTATGGGTCAATTTTGGAATAAGTGTGATGTGATGCTGAGAAGAATGTATATTCTGTTGATTTGGGGTGGAGAGTTCTGTAGATGTCTATTAGGTCCGGTTGGTGCAGAGCTGAGTTCAATTCCTGGATATCCTTGTTAATTTTCTGTCTCGTTGATCTGTCTAATGTTGACAGTGGGGTGTTAAAGTCTCCCATTATTATTGTGTGGGAGTCTAAGTCTCTTTGTAGGTCTCTAAGGACTTGCTTTATGAATCTGGGTGCTCCTGTATTGGGTGCATATATATTTAGGATAGTTAGCTCTTCTAGTTGAATTGATCCCTTTACCATTGTGTAATGGCCTTCTTTGTCTCTTTTGATGTTTGTTGGTTTAAAGTCTGTTTTATCAGAGACTAGGATTGCAACCCTTGCCTTTTTTTGTTTGTTTGTTTTCTATTTGCTTGGTAGATCTTCCTCCATCCCTTTATTTTGAGCCTATGTGTGTCTCTGCACATGAGGTGGGTCTCCTGAATACAGCAGACTGATGGTCCTTGACTCTTTATCCAATTTGCCAGTCTGTGTCTTTTAATTGGAGCACTTAGCCCATTTACATTTAAGATTAATATTGTTATGTGTGAATTTGATCCTGTCATTATGATGTTAGCTGGTTATTTTGCTCATTAGTTGATGCAGTTTCTTCCTAGCATTGATGGTCTTTACAATTTGGCATGTTTTTGCAGTGGCTGGTACTTGTTTTTTCTTTCCATGTTTAGTGCTTCCTTCAGGAGCTCTTGTAGGGCAGGCCTGGTGGTGACAAAGTCTCTCAGCATTGTTTGTCTGTAAAGGATTTTATTTCTCCTTCACTTATGAAGCTTAATTTGGCTGGATATGAAATTCTGGGTTGAAAATTCTTTTCTTTAAGAATGTTGAATATTAGCCCCTGCTCTCTTCTGGCTTGTAGAGTATCTGCCAAGACATTCACTGTTAGTCTTCTGGGCTTCCCTTTGTTGGTAACCTGACCTTTCTCTCTGGCTGCCCTTAACATTTTTCCCTTCGTTTCAGCTTTGGTGAATCTGGCAATTATGTGCCTTGGAGCTGCCGAATTCTACCAGAGGTACAAGGAGGACCTGGTACCATTCCTTCTGAAACTATTCCAATCAATAGAAAAAGAGGGAATCCTCCCTAACTCATTTTATGAGGCCAACATCATCCTGATACCAAAGCCTGGCAGAGACACACACACACACAAAAGAGAAATTTAAGACCAATATCCCTGATGAATATCAATGCAAAAATCCTCAATAAAATACTGGCAAACCAAATCCAGCAGCACATCAAAAAGCTTATCCACCATGATCAAGTGGGCTTCATCCCCGGGATGCAAGGCTGGTTCAACATAAGCAAATAAATAAACGTAATCCAGCATATAAACAGAACTAAAGACAAAAACCACATGATTATCTCAATAGATGAAGAAAAGGCCTTTGACAAAATTCAAAAGCCCTTCATGCTAAAAACTCTCAATAAATTCGGTATTGATGAAACGTATCTCAAAATAATAAG